CGAAATTATTTGAAACTCACGCTCCGTCGCACGACGAGAGGACAGGCGTCCAGTGCGCGAGTATATATAACGGCATATACTTGGAAGGGTTGCTATGAAGGATATGAGAGATGGCAGTGGATATCAACAAAGTAATCCCAACACTGCCGAAGGGCGGCTGGAACGCACGATGTATCGACAAGCTTCGCATTCCTTTCGATTTAGACCAAAATTTCACCCTAGGACTTCTCCATCTTGTGGATGCGGAGGGATGGCCTACACCGAATTTTACGGAGGCGACTTGGGGTGTGTCGATAAAGGATTGTTATAAATATTGTAATAACCGGGAGGTTCCATATGTAAATACTTTCTCTCTTTTCCTCTTTCTCGTACCTATCTCGCAGCAGTATTTCAATGGAGTTGATGGAGAGCTGATCATTCCCCAGACCTTCGACTTCCAAATCTTCGCCAGCGCATTCACAAACTATCTTCTTCCTTGGCTCGCCCTAACCGCCCAACTCCCCTACGAAACTTCCACTCCATGGGATAACCTCCTTTCTCTTTGTCTCTCCGTTGGCTCACCAGCACTAATAACCTACTCCCTTGTCATCACCATCCTAAACAGGTATAGTCTCCGGACGCGATGGCACACACTCCACCAATCGGCCCTCTCACGCGCCGTCCACGACAAATACAGCGATTTCAGCGTCCGAGTAAGAGCTATCCAGTACCTCCTCCAGGAAGCGCAACAAGTCCCTCTACGAGCAAGTCAAGAGAAGGGGTGGTTAAGTAGCTTAGTCGTTGTACCCAAGAATCAAAGGTGGTGGAGAGGTGTGCAGAGGAGGTTGAGGAGGACGAGGAGAGGCGTGACATTTTCTTTAGTAGCCCAGATTCTAGTTGCTGGAGTCGCATGGCTGTTTACGGTATCGAGTGAGTTTGTGGCGAGTCGAGGGGATCGAGTCGTGGCGACTCAGTTAAGTAGTGGAAGTTTGTGGTTGTGGTTGGTGAGTATTTTACGCCAAATTTGATGTATCCATGCATGCTGACTATGTTATGAGATTCCGGTGATTTGGGGATGGGTGACGGTTGGAACACAATCTAGTTCTGATACGATCGATGAGGCACTGCGCAATGATATCGCGTATCGAGCCAAAGAGCCTCCTATAACCCATGAATCTTCCATCAGGGAAAAAGGCGAGCAACTTGGTATCATGGTCCGCTCAGGTTTAGCAATCCAGCCTCACCGTGTCCAAACGAATGAGGCCGCATTCGAGGTTCCGCCTGTGACGAATCTTGAACTACCAGGCTGGTTAGGTGCTGATATTATGGGTGATGAGAAGCACGAGGGCCCCATCTTCAATTATGCGAGGGTATTCACTTGGTGGCAGTTAGCTCGAACCATTGAATGCGCACTGATCACATCGGTGAACGCAATCGCGACAGGACAGACGTGCAAGCCCTCTCAAGAGAAAGTCGTATTAGTACCATGGAACACAGATCGTCGACCAGAGGAGAACCTTGCTGGGGACTCGTATACCACGGCTCAATATTGTGGCCTTGACTTGAACCGTGTTCAAATCTCAGCATATCCGGAATGGGAAGAGATTCCCGCTGATGTGTGGAAACGCATCTTCGTCGCTAGTGCCGTTGCTATGTTCGTGCAATGGGGTACAGTTGGGCCTGCTGTCTTAATCGCATTCTATACGCCGACCAAAGGCGTCGGATGTCGAACTGCAGGATACCTCCTCTATGGAGGCCTGGCGACGCTTGTCTGGATACTTTTAGCAGTATCAATGATGTTCTCTCACGCTGCAATGCTTAGATATCAGCGCCAGCACCGACAAGCACCTTCCATGGATTTCCGCGGTGCCTTTGTCGTCCCCGATCTTCCTGAAACCCGGGCACCTCAAGGTTACGAGCGTAACTCTGCACACTCCATTCTCTGCGGGTTTGCAATAATAACTCGGCTCCTTGGCAAGATAATCGCGATTCTCAATACGATATGGCTCGTCCTCTCGTCTCTTCTAGAGTATACTGCAGTGTACGATACGTGTTACTGTAGGGGGAATCAGACAGGGCTGGGAATGAATAAAGGGTGGTTACTTCTGTTCAAATCAGAACAGCAATTGGCGCAATATGCAACTAGCCCTTGGGCTGGTGGTGTTGCGATGAGTATGATGGTATGCGGAGGAAGTTACTTGTTCTTTTGGTTGAGAAGTAGGAGAAGTTCGAGGGAGGAGTAGGTCGGTGGGAACGTATGTCTGATGATTCGAGAAGAGTAGCTGGGCGTTCCGGTGTTTCAGGGATGGCTTGTATTAATGGTTCAGTATATGACCGTCTATGAGTATATTGCAGTTCTTGTCTAAATTATTCGTCCTCTATCTTCTGGCTTGCCTCTGTGCTTTAAACGAGCTATGTCAGCATTGGCTAAGTGGAAACGATCCAGACCTAGCGATATTTTCAGCAAAGTATTACCTTTCCTGAAAGCTATTTCATTTTCATGACTGTTTCTATAACCTGTGATGAGGGCCGAGTCGGAACTAGATTACCGGTTTTGATTGCCGAACTAGATTGGAACATGGAATGACCATGAGACTGCGAATTCGGCCCGATCTGAGCAGATGCGAGGATGTTAACCTTGTTCTGACTGCAATCCAACGCCGAAACCTTCATGTCTACCAAGAAGACAAAAGGGTTTTATACAACGGTGTGGTGTTGAGTAAGTCTAGATGTGAATCCAAGGACCAACCAAACCACCAACACCCCTCTTCTGGCCCCATCTCTCCAGCATTTCCCCTGCTTTCTTCTTTTGCTCTTCCCGTGGTCCTAAGATTGCTACAACAACCAAGGGGAAAATGCTCCGCAGGAAATTGAATCCAATTGGATGTGTCGATTCGATATAGTCGGAAATCTGCAGGATGGATGCTGAATTTGATATTGGAGTCGCTAAGCTAAGGTGAACGGGGGATTCGGCTCGAGTATTTGAGTCTTGCGGTGATACAGGTGCTTCCATTGATGGAGAGAGCTTGTGTAGCAAAAGGGTGAGTGTTAAGTAGGCTGTGTGGTAGGTCGCGGCGGTCAGGGCTGTGAAGGAGTCGGGTACCATAAGCGATGAGGACTGTTGAGGCTCCAGAGTCACAGATCGAGAAAATAGACTGACGGAGGAGAGATGAGGATAGCAGTTAGCCCACGTGTCTAACTCACGGAGTAGATGGTTTGCTCGCTCTCGAGCGGGATTGAGATCAAGACCCGAGGGGATATCTCTTAAGAAGAACTCGGAGAAGTTGCCAGATATTTTACAAAGGGTTAAGCATTCCGGGATGGCGAGGACGATGTCGGTCAATAAGTGATGCGCGTTCTTCGGATAAATTACAAATGGAAGTGTTAACCATTCTGTAGCAGAAAAGACAGACGGCTTATTGAAGATGAGAGATTTATGAGACTAGCAAATCGTCAGCTTAAAGTGAAACCCACACCAGAAAACTTAGAAGAGTGATTACATCAGAAACTCTCATCGCCTTGAATAATTGATATGCAACTCCTGAGCAGCAATTTCTGGGGCCTCTCATCTCTAAGATCTTCGTTGCAGCAGCGAGGTGATGGAATACGCTGGTTGGCGTGGTGCCAGCGTAGACTTCATACAGGCCTAGGATGATAGGCACAAGGACTTCCACGTCGTTCGGGATGGCATTGCCATCAAGATTTGTGAGTGATTTGCGTTGGCTATTGAGTCCTGCAATGTACCATCGATAAGAATCGGTCAGGACAGCTATGTCTTGATGAACTTGAGCGTAGAATGCCATTGATGCTGCACGGATCGAGAGTCTCAGAGCTGGTTTGATTGCATTCGAATGCACATTTGGCAGATCAGTGATCCACGGTATCTTCCCTGGGCAAGACTGTACAGCTTTGTTCAGCTCCACGAAATGTGATATGAATGCTCGATCAAAGATGTCAGCTTGAGAAGGTTGATATAGCATCGGCAGCTTGTATTGCCATCGAATCGCATTGAGGACATCGTCTCCTAGCTGGGAACTACTCATAACTGCTAGGTTTGGTTTGGGCACAATCGCTAGCTGTACCTGTTCTGGTGAAGAATCTCTCCGCTTCGATTCTTGGACGCTGGGGGCTGCAACTGCTGGATGTGCCTTGGGGATCCTTTCCTTTAGTACCTCCTTTCGTACCGAGGCGGAGGGTCTGGTGTCTCTCTTTTTCCTTGGGAGTGGCTTCGCGACCTTATCTGTCATATCAATGATCACAGAACCCTGGAGTGGACCAGAGCATTTCAGCCCTAGCCGCCTGCATTGATGGCATAGTTCGGGGGTCTCGTCACACTAAAGCACACTGTATATTAATGTCTGCCGATTGAGAGCTTGATGGACGGTTACCTTCACCCGGCGTTCTCGACATTGGTTGCATGCTCTGCTGCGCTGGGCTTTGGGCCGCATGGCGAAGGTCAGGCTAACAGGGGGGAAGTCAGGCGGGAAGAACGAGAAAGGGAAATTTGCACGACGTGGGCGAGCCCCATGTTGTTGAATGGCGGGAATCGCACACTTGATGATGCACGTTCAGGGACCATCTTGGCGGGCGTGCTGCCGAAATGTCCCAGTGGCGTTGCAGGCGTTGCAGAATGGAGGAGAAAGCGCGAGCCTATGCCTAGAACGGCTTAGGTGAGGCGAGCACCTCACCTCGACCTTCGCTACAACAGCCTCTTTGGGAAAATTGAACGATTGAAGGTGAACAGTGAGAATGTCCAGCAGCATAAAGGGTTGGACTGGTTTGAGTGGTCTCAGAACCTGTGGGTGGCGGTTATCCCACTGCGCTCCCTCCTTCAAGTACTCCCGCTCTTCTTTTCATCTGATTCTTCTTCACAAACTTCATATCCGTCTGCAATGCCATCGAATCTTTAAAATTCTGAGTCAATTATGTGCTATCGCCATCATTTTCCTCCTTGCAAGAGTTGTTCTTGAAATAAGGCTCGACCCCTTCTAGCCTGCCGCGCTCTGCAATCCCATGATGTCCAGCATTCTATGCCCTGTTCGACGTAGGAACTCCTTTCGATTCAGTACATTTATTCTCCACCTCGTGGTGTATTACGCCGTTTGCTTTTCCCTTGATCGAATTACTTGTAGCAGTCTACGGCATCATTGGCATCGCCATCACGCTTGCGATTGCGAAGGATGGATCCGATGGGGCATCATTCTCCTACTTCAGCAATATGACTTTTTGGGGGAATTTACAATTATTACATATTCGTGGGAATCCACTCAGTGTCTTACACAATGAAGGAAGGGCGTGGTTGGAATCATGGCCGAGATGGATGCAATTACTCACGACCTGCTATACTCAACAATCACGGCATTCATATTAGTTATGACGATGGCATTCTGGGCCGTTCAATTCGGACCGGAGAAATTCGATAACCCTTTCGGTACCGGATCGAACATGGCTAGACATACCTGAACTCCGTCTTTCCTGTGTTCCAAATCACAGTACCAAGAACCGAACCCCCTCTGTGGATGTGAGTAGCCAATCTCAGAGTTTACCTTCTTGAAAACTAATCCGAACCTTGATAGTCATATGCCATGCATACTTCTTCTTTTCAGTGGCTATGTCTGTATCGTGTACATCACTTACAAGACTGAAGGCATTTACGCATATGGATTCTTGGACGCGACAAGTATCCACCGAGTGTACTCGCTGGCAACCTTCTTGGTATTGGAGCCAGTTGCGCTGGGATTTTCGTCATAGTCCGCTTCTCGATCTATAGCAGGATATGGCTTGTTGAAGAGAAGCTTGGGATGCGTGGAGAGCTGTTGAGGAGGGAACACGAAGCTGCCACCGGGATCTAGATGGAGATGAAGACACAGAGCACAAGACGGAAAACGTCTATTGCTGGAAGCGAATGGGGCATCGACGAAAATGGGAACCAGGAGGAGTATCTCTTCAAGAAGATACTCAACATTCTGGAGCGCTGCAGAGGGTACATTTAGCCTTGTCTGCAAACATCTTTGGGGAATTCACGCAGTTACATAACCAGCAAACCGATCCCAGCCCCCCAGTTCTACCCCCAACTCTACAGCACAAGCATCTCCTACCCAGTCCCTCCCGTCCACAAACCCGGAGCCCAGTACGAGAGCGTATGAATTGACTACATCGAGATGGTCAGCAACGAGCGCCGAACATCTAATCTGCATATATACCCGCCTGGGAACAGCGATACTGATATGCCGCAGCCCCTCCGCCTATACCCACAGAGCCCATGCTTGCTCCACCTCCACCGCTAACCCAGCCGCGAAACGACGAAGATGACAATGAAGACGCAATGTCAATCAGCTCAGGACCATCAGTATACATCACCACGGAAATACTGTCGAGGCTGCCTTCAACAGTCTTAGCAAAGTCATTCCCACCTCTGCACCCCAGGCTGAAGCCATCCCCGTCCTGAAAGACGGCAACAGAATCGTTCTCACTTTCCGGTACTTATTTGGGTTGGCATGGAATTGAATGAGCTAAAAAGGCCCCTTTTAAGGATCTGGAATGTGTCTTCAAGGAGTTCACTAATTTGTTGGGGACGGCAAGGTAGTTGAGATTAGGGAGGAGGGTGAAGGGATGTTGATCCTAGTGCAAGTTCCAGTCGAAATCTGGAGCATGTTGGAATGATCCTCTGGATGGGAACTTGTCAAGGTGGTATTGGAGGAGTAGGTGAATTCAGAACTTGGCTTGCAGGATAGCTTGTAGAATATGAGATCGCAGCGTGAATGGCTTCAGAGGTATATGCAAATTTGATTGAGCACTGCGCGCGGATGTGAAGCCAGCCAAGCACTATTATCTCGATGTAATTTTATGATCTCGAACCCTGCTGAAGTACTCCCGGAGGGTTAAGGTGTATTTCCAGATTCCCGGTTCCGCGTATCCGTCTTGGTGGGATGCGCTAATTGTGGTAATGACGTCACCTATTTAAACGATGGAACATCATCTCTGAATCCCCAAACCTAAAGAGAGCCTTTTTCTACCGTCTCCAGAACCAATGCCCTCAAAAGTATAATAAACCACCAAATGCCTGCAGGACTTCCAATTCCAGTGCTACGGTTCCATCGGCCCCTCCAGACCCTCTCATTATACCGCTCGCTCTCATCAACTCCCCGTCGGCTTCTGAAAGAAGACGCGGATCGATCGCCAGAGGAAATCGAGAAGAAGAAACAGGAGCAACTTGAGAAGCAGAAGCGCGGAGAAGGACATTGGCACGAGGAGCTAGGAAGCCAAAGTGAGAGCCACGTCAAGGCGGATCGAGAGGAGGTTGGAGATCATGGTGATCATATAAGCAAGTTGCAGCAGCAGACTAAGGAGAAAAGTGAGGAAGGGAAGGTATAATGAGGGTATTTGTAGGGCCGCGCAGCGCATAACAAAAAGTGACACCAAAAGTGCGACTCCAGCTTTTACTTTACACCTGGCCGCCCACCGACCCTAAGAAGCACAAAGTCTCTGGCAGTATATCTATTTCTAGCTCTATATATAACCTTATTGGTAACATCATGCCTGGTACGGAATCTAGAGAAGGGCGCTGACAAAGGTGTACCTTTTGGTGTGTCACGTTTTCTGTACTCTGCCTGAGCGGCTTTGGGGTGCTGCATGATTATCGCATTTTAATTCTGTAAACCAAGGATATGATATATTCTTTCAGTCTCCCCTCTAAAGCAGCTGACTTCAATGTCTCTTCTTGCTCCCAAAAAGATAGTTGTTGAAATATTATTCAGTCTTTAGATTATCACTTGTCCCTGTCATCTCGCCGTCAAATTAAAGCTCAATATGTCCGGCAATTTTCCGAGTTCCCAGGAATGATTCACGCGCTCCTCCTCTTGTTTGACAGTCCAGAGTGCTCTTGAGATCTCTCATTGAATTTTCCAGCGCCTGCCGCATTCCAGAAAGCTCTAACATTACACTAATCAGACAAAACAAATGTCGATGCAACTATACGCAACAATATGTGCAAAGCATAAATACTAGAAATAGAAAACGAACCCGAGAAAATGACTGTCCCGAAGATGAAATGCGTGAAGCTGAGAATAGCCAGGAACTACCGAAAAGAAAAGAGAACCAATACGTCTCTATATATTCCAATAAAGTTGGAGACAAGCTTATACAATGTGTGAATTCGTCCTTTACCCACGATCCCAATGACTGTAGCCTTGTCGTCTTGCGATGAGGAGAAAATTTCTGGCGAACGTCTAGTCGAAGTACAAATGCCCTTAACAGAAGACTGATTCCGGGGAGAAGAGCCCATAATAGAGGAGGATAGTCTATATTAGTAGCAATAGAAATGAAAGCATGTACACTTAGCTGGTAATATGTCGTTACAACCTTCACAATTGCTGCAGTCACAACGATTAGCTCCACTGCCACCCCAAGCCGCTGTCCAGTGACAGAGAGATGGGGCAATGGTTTAACAATCTTCCTTTCCCGACCTGACCAGTTACCCAGAGCACATCCGGGTACTGGAACATCCTAATTTAGCATCGCGGATGGCGAGCCGAAAGCTGGCAAAAAGGCGAGTAGAGGGCGCCGTGTGGAGAGCATGGATGTCTCCCTAAGGTTCGAACCAATTACCGCGAGCACGATGGGCATGATGTAACAGAATGCAGAGGATGGATGTAGGAACCACCGTGTGGTGGAATTGAGAGCTATCTAGGTGGTATATATACATCAAAGATGTGGCTTAGTCAGCTGAGTGCCAAGCAGGCAGCAGCAGGCAGTGACGCTCGGTAACACATGAGGCCTAGCAAAAAACTGGCACCAGCCATATCTGCTTTGTGTTCTCTGGCAGGGATTCCAGAAGACAGCTGATCACAGAATGGATGGAATCGAGTTCATCGGGCGCGATCTCAGGACAGTATAGGTAAAGAATACCGCAGTAACTGGCAACGAAGCGTATTTAGCTAATACGAACGTGGTGTAGCTCGCCATGGCGCCCAGGGTGCCCTTGTAGGTGCTGATACGATGTACTAAGCCGAATTAGGTAGTGATCCGGAGGCTCTTTGACCTCGCCGTCGCCGCCGTGGTGGAGAGAGTGTATAGTCGCCTTAATATCGTGTCAAGTATTGTATTCTACTACCTATTAAGGCTTATATTCAGCATCTACGTCACTATCTATTATAGCACCATCGTCATCGTCTGAAACCTCTATATCTGAGTCTTCAAATACGTTTATATCGATGGCCTCACTACTACACGCGCCACTCGTTCTCACACGCCGAAAGTCGTCAACTAATAGCCTAACAAGGCCCCGTTTCTTCTCCTGCCTATACACCGTGGTATAGCCTTTGATACCTCTCATTTTACAAAGTACTGTTAGCTTCTTAACGTTGTAGTTGCTAAAGTATATTCGAAGCTCAGCCTCACCCATCAAACGCGTATCTAGGTCGTTATACTCTTCGTCAGAGTCTTCCTGCTTCACCTGAGTCTCCTCGTATTGCCGCCCTCTTTCCCTCCAGCCTTCAAACGACCAGTTCGGTGCATCTTTGATCGATATCATAGCGTTTTCGTCACCCATCGGCGAGATCGAGATACCAGTGGCTGTGAACGCGCGCTGGATGATATTCCGGCCACGGGCAGTCTCCATCTGTCGTCTCGCATACCCAGTAGCCTTTGTTAACAATACTCGGCGTTCTGAAGTCGTCCAGATATGATTATAGTTTGGATCAAACTGCTCCTCGTACTGCTCGATATAATCGGCTAAATGACCCTTATACGGGTAGTTGAAGCTCACATCGAGAGGCTGGCAACATGGCGTACAACCTGGAGGTACCATAGCCATCGTTGATGCGAGCTGCTGCTGGATCATCTGCTTTACTGGCTCAGTTTTATGGAACGATATGCAGTCTAGAATGATAAGAGCCTGTTGCCGTTAAGGTATGGCGCGATATCTTCGTTTAGTTGCTTCAATATTAAATTGGTGTTGTTGTACGCCTTCTCATTAAACTCTACATGAATACCTGGCTCGTATAGATGGGCCTCTCTCTCTCTCACAGTACCCTCGCCGTGGAATACCAACATAATGGAGACTATACTGCCGTCGGCGCTAATCCAGATAACGGCAGTGGCCTGGCGTTTGCCCCATCTACTACGTATCTGCTTGATAGAGACCGTCGTCGAACCAGTAGGCGCCCACGTGTGGCTATGGGCGAGTTCAAAGGGTAGTGGTGTTTCATCCATATTAATCATTAAGTGGAGCTCAAACCGATGGGTGTGTAGCGGTAGCTCTGGAGGTACTGACGGCAATACTGAAGGAAGACGTAGTAGGCCAGGTACGCCGGGCACGTTTTCAACAATAGCGAGTAGTTCAACACGCAGACACATCCTTCGAAAGAAACAGAGCTAGTTATTAACATAAAGCTGTAGTTCTTCAGGTTTTAACTGCGCCTTCTTTGTCTGACAACGCCAGCTATAACGCCACCGTTTAACGAAGCCTTAAAACCAGCCATTTGAGAACTTAAAGCTCTGCGCAGCTACTGGATCTTGGTCTCGTAACAGCTTTCTACCCCGGCGCTTTATCATCTTTGTTGATACTGCCCGGTGGAGGTCTCTTAGGGCATTAATCAATAGGTATAGCTCAAATTCAACCGCTGGATGCGCCTCCTTCTGCACCTAAACGTATTCAGCTTATAAACTACCCATATATGACGATAGCTATACCATCGAGTGATCTTGCCGAGTGCCCTTCTTTATCTGACGGATCCTTGGCGCCTCTCTCCACCAGCTCTCAATCGTGCGCTCCGAACGATTAAAGTGTAAAGCAGTCTCTCGATTCGTTGGCGGCCGATGATAT